ACTTTCGTTCGCGAATTCGGGTCGGGGTAACGCGAAACCGATCCCGGGGAAAAATCGTGTAGAGCATTGAACGGGACGGATGGATCTCCCGTCGAAGACAAGGGGAAATATGCGGAAGGAAGCAAAAAAACGAAGGGAACCTACGATAATGCCATGCCTCGGACAATCTTTGCTCGTCGGACCGTTGATAGATGCAATGGCTTCTGGTAGAGAGAATACGGGATGTCTCGGCGAAATATTTTTCGAGCGAAGCGCACGCTGAAAGGCGCGCGACATCGGAGACAGAAGAACTCTCTCTCGTATCTCTGGCTTCTGGTACAACGGACGCGTACCTCGACGTTCTGCCCAAACATCTAGTTGCAACGACTGCGCTTGTATATACTCGCGACGTCACGTTACTTTCTTTGCTTTCTATGGGAAGGATAAGTCATCGAGAAACATTTTCCATTGATATGTAAATCCCGACGCGAGCTTCCATCCGAGAAAGCGAGCGGCGGCGGTCCTAAAACCTTTCGCGCTTCTCCTTCCGTATTCCAAAAGACATTCTCGAGAGACTACTTTACGACTGCTATAAATTAGAATTTTATCGGGCGCCGCTAATTGGAATGCACTGGCTCGCCGGCTATTTTTTCTTATAAACTCCCCGGACGGTTGACGCAACATCGGACTTTATCGGTTTTATAGGTTCGCCGTGCACGAAATCTGTTTTCTATCGCCCACGGGGAACGCATCCACGACGTAGGAGAGACGCGTCGCTCGAAGACTCGAACGATCCTAAACACGAAGAGCCGGAGGGGGGGCGCTATTGCATCCTACGATCGGAGACATCGACGCCGGGCAGAAGCACTCGGCATCATAGAATTCAAAGGACGGCGTATGAATAGCCGGTTAATCCCGGATTCCTATTCACTCGATAAACAAGAATCTCGAAGTGTAATTATGCTAAGTCTACGTAATACCGTTCGATTGTACGTGTAACGCGATTGCGCGTTCCGGTAACGCTAACAGTCCGAAGCTAGAGCGGCGGGCACTTTCAAACAATTTTCCCTGTTTCCCTTCTCTCGGAGATTCCGTTCTCCGCGTCAAAGGATAAATTGCATTAGCCTCTAAGCAACAGACTGTCGGAGGGAGACCGAGCAAACCTACCCCCCTCCCCGGAAATAGGGGCCCGAGGCCATTTCAATTTAGACCGGCGAGTCATTAAATCGACCAGGTGCGCGACGAGAAAGAGAGGCGTAAGACGGACCGTCCTTTCACCTGTCGCCCTGGCTTTCGAGTAACGAACGCGTCCAACCCACCCCTCGCCAATTTCCATGGCTCCTCTGCCGTTCGCGTCAAGGTAAGGCAAATGCTGCCGGCCCTTCCACTACAATGAGTTACCAGCCTGCTCTGACCACAAATACGCTGAATATGCATGAGCCCCTTGTCTCTACTATCGGGTACGAACGTCCTCGAATTAGGTTTCCCGCAGGTTCTTCGAGTCCTGTTCGCGTTGGTGCTCTAGCCACTCCAGAAGCTCTCTAGTCACCTCTCATACCTTCTCCTCGAGGGCCGTGCCACGTCGAGCCTCTGTCGTGCTTTTCCGCACGTACCCCTTTAGACGGCCCGAATTCGAGAGTCTCTTCTGCCGCGAATCGATAGATCGGCATCGAACCCGATACTCCGTGAATAGAGTCGCGCGGGGGCGGAGGGCCAAGTATCCGGGGACAAAGAACCCACCGGCGAAAAGTGTTACGCATCGAGTCCTGCTAATACAGGCGTCGCTCCCTTTCTCCGATGGACTACATACACGAAGGGATTTACAGCGCGCCGTATAACGGTTGCGCGGCTCTATCTGCAATTAAAACAAGGGAAGAAAAGAAAAGGAGCAAACTCCCCTCGGTTTCTCACGTATCGCACGCGATTCCTATCCGGAAGTAACCGAGAAGATAATACGCCGCCGGTATTCTCACGCCGCGCGAGATGTTATCAGAGTTTCCTGTTCCAGAAGTTTTCGTTGCAAAAAGGAAAAAAAGGGGGAACGAGCGGTAAAAGCTCCGACGGCGTCTTACTCGGGCGTCGAATGCCCGTCGATCTTTCGACGGCCCGTCCCGGGCGAATCGAAAACAGTTTTTACGATGCAATTATTCCATTGTATCGATTATTAACGAACGTTCGGCGACGTTAGAGGCAATATCGCCGCGCTTTATATCGAACCCCGTGTATTCGAGGCTCCGGCGAGCGAGGGTGGGGACGTTTATGCGAGAGGAAAGCGCGCGCAACCCTGCGCGAAGGAAAAAGCGAGGAGATACGATCAGTCACGAGAAGGAAAGATTTTCGTCTTCTCGCGTGCGAATTCCTTTCCCGCGATGGCGTGCAGAGCCGTAAAGAAAAAACGGAAATAAAAAGAGAAGACGGGAAAAGCATTCCATTCTCGGCGCGGCCGCTTTTATATTCGACGTCACGACGACGTAGCCTGCTTTTACCGGCGAACAATGGCCCGGCGTCGACGATCGAGAGAATTTTCATCTCTTTAAAAAATAATTCACTCCTCCCGGTAAGTTGGCGCGTGCATCCACCTGGCTTCGAGTCGATCGCGGCCGACCGACCGACCGGTGCGTGCATATTTATAGGAAACACACGCCGGTCGAGTGCTCGTTCGATACCGACTCCCGGCCCTTCGCATTCGAAATATACAACCGTGCTCACACGTGTCTCTGTAAAACCAATATCGGCGATGCGCGGTTATCTATATATCGCGGATGCGGCAACGTTCTATAAATAATACGCGCCGGCCGTGATGGAAAACGCGGCGACGACGAGCCGCAGCGATTCGGCCGCCAAGCACGTGAGAAAACAAAGAGATCTTCTTCTCCCTTCTATCCGCGAACGCGGCAATAATATTATCGCTGAGCGCGTGAGAATCCCGGGATGTGCGTCCGCGCCGCGCGTCCCATTTCTCATCGTTCCCGGGATAAATAACTTGGCATTGAAACGCGTGACACTTTCGCTCGCGTTCGTTAACTCCCGGTTCACGGCTCGACGGCGCGCGGGAACACGGGAACCGCGAGCGTACCGAGGGTTTTTCCGGGGATACGAAACCCGCGGCGCAGGAAACTGAATTACACGTCAAACCCTTAAACGCTGGAAAAGTGGAGAGATCTATCTGCGGATCTCTCGTCGCGAGAACAATGAATTCATTCGTTTCGAGGTCTCCATTTTATGGAAGTTCAACGTCGCCGACACGACAGTCGTCCTGAAAGGCTTAACGCGCGGAATCCGTGCTCGCCGTGTTCGCGCCTCCCTAATAAGAAGACGGCGCGATAACGTGGGAAAATCAGCTCTCCTTAACGAAGCGTCCCGGCAAGTGTAACTCGCCGCGCGTAAAAGTTACCGTGGGCAAGCAAATATTTATGCAACGGTGGCGGCGGGATACAAGCGACACGGGGCAGAAGAGAAAAGATCCCTCCGCCGTCCCGGCAGCAAATTCCTGGCCGGCGTGGCGCGCCGTTAAAAGAGGGAGGGAAGCATCCAGTCCGATTCCTTAGCTGTCGCGGCGACTTATTTTTCGATGCGTCGCGGGCATCCCCGAAATTCGGAAAATTCATGTACACCGCAACACCGCGACCGTCCGCATGGTTTAAATCACGAGAGCGAGCTCCTCGCCGGGCGAGATGGATTCTAGTCTGGTTATTACCGCGAGGAGCGGGCACGAAGGCGCAGAGTTCGACGAACCGGGGGGGAAGCGGATTCCAGAAGTTAGGGCGACGCGATCCAATACCGACCGGTCGTCAACCGTGTTTCTGATCGAAACGGCGTCCACCGCTTCGGTCACAATATTTACCCCGTGCTCGGGGTAACCTTGCGCGGTTCGAACGATACAATTCGCGAAGCGTGCTTGCGTGGCTGCTTCTCGCGAGCGTACCTCCGCCGAGCGAAAAGAATTCCGTGGAGGAGAGACACGAGGAATGCGTCTCGAAGCATTCGGAGGATCGGCGTCGTTCAATCTGAGGAGCCGGCGACGAACGAATCGAACGATCGTCGACGGAGGTGCTTAAGATGCGACGAATTCGAAACCGGATAGCCTCGGCTCGGGAAGAACACCGAGCCGCGGGGATTAAATTGCGAGATCTCGCATCGCGCCTTATCGGTAATCCGACAACGCGCTGTGCAAACGCGACGGCGAGAAACACGAAGAGCACTTGTTAATTCAAGCGATTCGACGAAATTCCGGCCCGGAATCGCTGCACATTTAATCGACGCATAAGGCGCGCGGTAGCCGCGAAAAGCCAAATATTGAACGGAGCATGGCAAACGTCAACGCGGAAGCGTCTCGAGTGAAACGCTTTCGACGTCAGCAAATATTTACGGCTTCCTTGGGAACGGATTTTAAATCGAAACCGAAAACTCAAAGGACGCCGTGTCCGGCGAGCGTCTATTTGCTTCCCGGTAAATAACTACCCTGTACAAAGAGACCCCCGCGTCGCCGTGGCCGCGGTTCGCGGATGCCCGCCGCGGGAAAAAAAACGCAGTCACGTACGGAAACTTTCCGCCGTTCCGAAAGGCGCGCACACTTGACCTTTGCTCGGTTGACCCGTGATAGCGGCGTGACGCGGATACCGCCGAGACGCGCAGTTTCAGCGCGAAACGACGTCAGAGGAAACGCGGACAAAGAGCGGTGAATTGAACGATTAAAGGAGCGGTCGCGGGGAAACGTCGAAGAAACGGAGTTCCGGAAGGATAATCGGATGCGAAGGCACGATAAACAGGACCCGCCGCTGCTTTGCCCCGCGGCGAACGAGTACGCGAGATAATTCCGACCGATACGGGGATACCGGGAGACGATCGAGAGCAACGACCTTCCGATAATAGAATCACAAGAAAACGAGATTGTTGTCGGAGGATAGAATGCCGGGCGAAGGGTGAATTAACTGGTCCGGTCCGGTTGCGAGTTAATTGAAGGAAAAAGAGAAACTTACCAGCGAAGAGAGCGCGGAGAGGAAGCGGTCCCTGGTATGCGGGTTCGGTTCGCCAGGATGCAGATGAGAAATCCTCGAAAAGCAACAAAAGGCACTGGATAAACGAGGACTCGCGGAACACAAAAGGGCTCGGTCACAATGTGAGCACGTAACGACACCCGGCGGCGCCCGGAAAACCCGCAGAATCGCGCCGCTCTCCCGCGGAGCTTGACAGCCGGGTTGAAAAACAAGAGCGTTTTCGACGCGGACTCCGTCGCCCGACGACACCGATGGGATGAAGAGAAATTAAAGGGCCCGGCAGCGGGATCGGGCAGCTGCTCCTCGGATCAGGCGTCGGTTTTGCTCGCGCGAGAGGCACAGAAACGTCGGGGGCCACGGGGAGTACCGTGGAACCATGGGAAAACGGGGAAACGAAAACGGCCGCGGCCAAAAGCGTTCGGTTCTGGCACGCGGTCCACGGCGGAGCTTCGAAGCTTGAAAAGCAGCGACACGTAAAACGAAGCAGTTTCCCGTGCGAGGCTCTGCCGGGTACTGGGGGTTCGAGCCGGGCTATCGAACGCACCTCCGCGCGCTGACCAATAGGCGCCGACGCCGCGCACCGCTCGGCCAATCGACGACCGCGACACCGGCATCGCCGTACTTACACACGCCAGGACTCTTGCCGCCGTAATCAAAATCCCTTCGCTGACACTCCGATTTTTATTATGCGCGCATATTAAGCCCTGCATTTCTCCTTGAATGGCTACCGCGGATAGAATCAATGGAACAGACGCCGGGGGAATCTACGAGATCTTTCGCGGATCGCGCGACCTTTCGCGTGCTAGCGTTACGAGCGGCTTGCAAATTGTTGCCGGCAGATGAGATTCGGAAACGAGCGTGTGCCGGTGTCTTTTCGGGGGAACGGGTACGGAGTTTCGCGAAGTACTTTTCTCTTTAGGATCCCGTTTCGCTGGTAAAACGGAGGAACGCCGAGGATCGGAAAGGAATAATCGCAGCAGCCGCGTGTCCCTTCCACGGTCCGCATTTATTAATTGTTTCTGCCCGTGGCTCCGTGATTTATGACTTTTGACGATTCACCGGGCAGCGTTTCGCGAAATCGCGTCGGAACGGGAAATACAATAGCGGCTCGCGGAACCAGCCCTGCTACGATATAATCCCTTGGGCAATAACCAGGATAGGATTGGCCTAACGCATATTAACGCTTCTAATTTATGCGAGTCCATCGGCCGTGCTAGATCGCTCAAACCTGGCCGGCTCACTATTCAACCGTGGCATCGCGGTTGGTCACTAGCTGCGAGCCGGCCGGCGTGTCACTGTGATCGCGTTGATCAAGAGGTACAAAGGGATAGGGAACACTTAGAAGCCGGAACCATAATCCGCGAGGCATTATCGCCGGAATCCGAATATTTCCCCATTAATAACGTCGATTATCGCAATTAGAAAGTTTCGGCCGTATCGATCCGCGGTCAGCGGAGCACGCGTAAATCCAAAGTTATCCGGGGGAGCCACGTGCCCCGCTCGCTCGTCCGACGCGACGCCAGAAATGGAAAAATTTGCTGCGATAATTCGACCGTTGTTTTCGGCCACGCTGTTTCGAGGGAGCTGTTTAATGTAACGGACAATGCGACTGGCCCCTAGACAGATACCGGCCGTTCCCGTTATTCCGTTGATGAAAATATTCCACTCTAAATAACGTTGGGACAAAAATGATCCGCGAGCACGGGGCTTCCCGGTCCGGCTCGCTGCCCGCGCTGATTTTGAATGCCGGACCGAAAATTAATGAAAACCATTCACCGTGGCCGACGTTCCCGCCGGTTACAAAAGCACAGACGTCCGCATGCATTGCGGGATAGACGTCTCATTGTTTTATCGTTTACATTTCGGTGATGTTCACGCGCCGATTGGTAATCCGGTCGAATTGCGTTAAGATCGTAGTCGGATTAACGACGCGCCGGCCGAATTCGCTTAATAAGGCACTGCTTTAGCCTCAGGCATCAAAGGAATATTAGTTTCGTAACTGGGTTACCGTTAACCGATTAATACGTCAGAGCTTTAGGAGGTGAATCGGATCGGATCGAATCGGGGGAGGGGTATTCCGATTGGCGGAGCGCGAGGGCGCGCGCGGACCGGCGAAAAAAAAAAGTTGATCGCAGTCTGTTCGCGTTAAGGAAATATTTCGTAATCGTGTCAAGGATATTGCTTGAAATCCAGATCACAAAGGGCGGACTCGATGCGTCCAAGCCGAAACAGCCCGAAGGGTCGGGCGAAATAACGTGGACCGCCATCCACGAGAAAGCAATTAATTCTCATGGAACGTTTGATCTACGGCGGCGTCGAAAGGGTAAGAGTAGAGCGTAATCTTTTCCTCGAGGAGATATTGTTCTCTAATTAGACAAAAGAATTTCATTTCTGGATCTCATTTCCATGGAGTAGCGTGAACCGGCCGCCCCCATTCGAATAATCCATGATAGAACTTTTCACACTTTGCCGTATTACCATTTCACCCCGGAATAAGAACGGCGGCGCTAGGCTTCGCGCCGCTTTACCTCCGGTAGACGCTGCCATTTTTCTTGGCAAGCGACCATAAACGTATCTCTGTAATCATGATAATCACCAGAATAGCAAGCGGCCGCTGTACATCCGTTCCGGGGGGTGGCACGGAATTTATGCCCGGAATACGATATGAACGAAAAAAGAATGGCAACAGCGACGCGATTCTTAATACCCCCCGGCATCGGGAAACGCCGCCACTTCATCGTTCTCTTTAATTTATAGCGATCGATCGTTCGCAGTAATCAGGAACCGGGGTAATTAACAAGCAGCTCTTTCGTCCTACTTGGACTCATTCAATCTTCGATCCGCACAAAGGTGGCAGTTGCCTTATTCGATTCTTCCATTACTCGAAGCGATTCGTCTTCGTTATTATCCGTCTTGTCGTGCATTCTGATGGGAGCGGAAAGGAAAATAACGCGAACGGGGGCCGCCGCCTCGAAAGTTCAAGCTAGTTGCTTCTACAACCCCGTGATCATGTCAACTTTCAACAAAGACTACTGCTCCCTTTTTTTGGTGTGCGTTTATTATCTTTCCACCCCAGCCCTCGACGAAGCAGACTCCGTCGAATCTGATTTTGCCGTAACAGCCAATGAAATCGCGTCTTTCCGCCTAATATCTCGCCGTAACGAGGATCGCGATACCACCTAAGAACCAATTAATCCTTCCTCCGCGTTCGCGATCCGCGGCTTGTCTTCGAACGCCGTCCGAATCGATGAGACTTTAAAACGCTAGACGGGGATCATTACAAACTCGAATAGTTATCGGGCCCAGACAGCCGCACTCCCCTATCCAAACGAACTCTTCTCATTACAACGACGGAAACGTCGATATTCGACAGTTATTCGTATGCAATGCCTGTCGAAGCATTCTATCCGTTCCTCTATAATGTGACTCGCACGATCCGTCGACCTCATAAACCATGCCATTATTCGATTCGAGTGACGTTCATTAGGAAAGTTCCGTTTCAGAAAGTCGCGGATATTTCTTCGGAAAGGGGGATACTCCAGGCGCGCGGCACGCTCGCGCTAACAGCGATAAGAATTATTTCCGAACGATGAAATATTGAAAAATAGGATTCCCGTGTAGCTTTGACGTGGGACTTTGATCGGCGTCGAACCCTCGATTTGAAGCGCGACAGAAGGAGGCCGGGGAAAAAGGGGAAGAATAATCGAGGAACTTTGGGACCGCTCTTCTAAATCGATGTTCCGCAACTCTGTTCTCGGATGACAGTCACACTATGAATCAACGTGCGCGCCACGCCTTCGTTTCAATCACCCTCGAACCGAGAGCGCCATTTGCCGTCGTCGGAACGCGCGGGACGAGGACAACCGGCGGTATCCGCGGACGAGAGGGACGAAGAGGGCGAGAACGAAGCCAACCACCAGGGGCAGAGATTGCGGTGTCCGTTTTGGCCTTTATTGGAGTCGGATCCGAGACGACTCGATATTAGTAGCGACAGTTACGAGTCACCCGTGAAAGCACAAATCCTTCGAGACGCGCTGGATTCGGAGGAAAAGGGAAAAAAAATGGAGAAACGTTACAGGGATTCGGGGCCGGCGATGCTCGCAGTCAATCCGGGTAGCGCGACATTCGATTCCGATCGCGCGTTCTGTCGATTTCCCGTACACCGCGAGGAGAGAATGAAACAGAAAAAAAAGCAGGATCGCAGAAACAATCTATACGTTTCGCTTCGACGAGTCGCGCAGCAAATTCACAAAACCAGCCTGTCATTCGTACGAAATTAACTGTCCTGTCGAGCTTGGCCGCGATTCAAATTGAATTGACTATCGTTATGCATTGGAGGAGCGTTGGACATCGGCGAGGGGGACGGAATTCATTCGATTTCCGGCTCGATCCGAAGGGCCAAAGGCTTCGCCGGAACGATCACCTGAGACGGATGATCACGAGTTTCCGCGATCTCGTGCGAGTCCTAGGAACGAGGTTCGCGTCGTTTTTTCGAGGAGCAGGCGCGTTATCGCGCCGCTGCGCCGAGCCGAAGCATTTCGAGCCGGTAAAAGGGTTCAAAAGACGAAGCCCACATGGAAAATAGAGTCGGAAACTTGACTTGTATCCATTGTAAGCTAGATGACGGAGCATTGTGCTGGTTATGAAGGCAATTTACCACGCGTAACGAACGGCAAAGTTTCGTCGTTGCGGCCTCGCCGCCGTGGAACGTGTTCTTTGTTCGTTCGGCGTTCCCTCTGCCTCTAATCGTTTGACGCGGCCGCTCGCGCGCGGCTGCGACATCTAACTATTTAGCATTCTATTTTGCTCTGTCGCTTAATTCGTAGCCGGTTCTAATCCCCGCTCGAGGCCCGGCCCTTCTTAACGGCACGCGATCGCCAAACTTCATCGAACTTCAACGCTCTTCTCGCAAACTGCTTCAGCGAAGCGCGTTCACTTGAAGTTTATCAATGTCCCGGGTTAATTGGCCGTGCGGTCACGCCACCGATACGAAAATTAAAAGCCGTCGACCCGCGTGCGGCGCCCGTCGAAATTTCGAATTCTGATCTATCGGCG